CCCCAAAACCCCAAAACCCCAAAACCCCTTCATAAATCTGAAAAATAGAATATATTAATTAATACATTTATTTACCTTGATTAACTCTTATCCAAAATGGAAACACATAGCCCTTTCTCAGAAGAAGATGCAACCTCTAAGAGTCTACACGAGCATGATGATGCTAAATCAGAAAATGGGAGAGACTCCAACCCTCAGGAGACTAAGGACCATATAGCTGTAAGGATAGTAGTTTGGTGGAAGTACCCAAGGCTAGAACAAGAATGGAGATATCGGGAATTCACAAGAATCTGGCTGATTCTTCATTTTAGATATGTTTGTAGGTTTAGGTCAACAAAAAATGATGAATTTCTTGTAGAAAAATGAATACTCTTGCTATTCCGCTAATGGTCTTTAATAAAATTATGAATGCATCCATAAATGGTCTCCATATTACTTACATTTGGTTAAGCTTATTGAATTGAAGATAAAGAGATGTTTTGATTAGTTAATTTTAAATTGTAAATACACCTTTTCTTACTTCCTATCATAAATTGAAATTAGCAAAGATGTAGTCCCAAAATATTTTGAATGTGTTCAGTTTTTATTATAATGAGCTTAGATAGGAAGAAGAAAACTCGAAAAATTAAAATTTATAAAAAATTAGAAAACAAAATTTCACTTCATATTTCTCAAATTTTAAAATAATCAGCACGGCTTTTATAGAATCATAAGTACTGAGTTGAGCATCAGGCTGCACAGAGTCTTGATGTAGGAGTTAACAGAAGGCTGCATTCAGGTAAGCCTATTGAAACATTATTCTTTGGAAAAGATTTTATTGTTCTGACTATTTTAACATGAGTATAGTATGAAATAAAGAAAGTCAACATTTTATTTTTAATCAAGAGCTAGACCTAGGAGAATACTCAGTCGAGAGTTCACAGAAAAAGTATAAAAAGAATGAAAAATAAACTGATCAAAATATTGCAACCAAATAGAATAAAAACTCTATCAAAAAGTGAAAGAAAGTTTATCTCAGGCTACCTTATGAGCAAGAAAACCAATTCTATTACTGAAGAGCAGAGGACTAAGTTGTGGCTGGTTGGCTCTGGAGCTGAGACTCTTCTAAAAGACAACCCAGGGTATTACCACAACCTTCTTGATAAAGTAAAGGGGTACCCAAACCCTTGCTTCTCTCAGATCCACTTGGATCTCCACAGAACTTTCAGTACTGACGAAAGTTTCTACACCAAAGAGAATGAGAATACTTTGAAAAGAGTGCTGTCAGCTTATGTTCTAAGAAACCCCACTATCGGATATTGCCAAGGACTCAACTTCATTGCAGCAGTTCTAATTACTCAGCTCAGTGAGGAGCAGGCATTCTGGGTTTTGTGACAAGTCATCGAATCGATCTTGCCGACAGATTACTTTAACTTAATGACAGGAGTCATTATTGACCAAAGAGTATTTGAAGAACTTATCTCTGAATATCATCCCGATGTGCACAAGCATTTCAAAAAGCATGAATTCCAAATGGGGTCTCTGACTACCCAGTGGTTCGTCTGCATATTTGCAAACACTCTGAAGCTGAACCTTCTGAAAGAACAGTTTTCCACTCTTTCTATTTTTGATGTGTGGGATTTCACGATCACGCTTGGATGCTCAGGAATCTTCAAAATAGCTTTATCTGTAATAGGATATTTAAAAAGTGACATTCTCAAAATTAAAGATCAGGGTGATTTGTTCATGCTTTTCCGGGAATGCGCTGAGAGACTTCCTCCCTTCAAAGACTTAAATAAATTTTTGAAGAAATTTGAAATTACTCCTAATCGCATCAAAAACCTTAGAATTGCTTTTAAAGAGGATGCATATGAGGAGTTTGCTGAAAGGCATTATAAGCAAACCCAAAGTAAGATTCTTAGAAGTAAGACAGACATTTCATCTGGACTTGAAGAGACCCTCAAGGAGAAATTTCTAAGGAAAATTTATTTGTACAATGGAATATCCAAACTCAGGAGTCAACAGGATTGGCCTAAAGACATTCTTGAAAACTTCGATGAAGAAGTAGTTGCTGGGAACTCTTGTGATACAAACTGGCCTATCTGTCTCTATGACTTCTTCTACCAAAACAAGATTCAGAGACATTTTGCTTTCAAAAATAAGAAGAAAATCAATATAATAGAACATCATTTCGGAGAACCCTCACTGCATGCTGATAGTGGTGAGGAGTTGCAATTTACAACAGTCAAACTAGAGGAGGACAAAATTGACTCTGACAATGGGAATGAAATAGACTTTGACAGCGAAGGAGACACAGAGCCCAACAAACTTGACGGGCTTTTACTAGAGAGGAATATTCATCTTTGAAACCAAGAAAACTTTGAAGAAAAGTTTAAATTGCTCTTTGGAAACAAGAATAGTGAATTCTTTATTGAAGCTTTGCAAAGTATGTACCAAGATAGCGGAGACATTTCATACTCTGAGAAATGTAACAGATTTATTTCAGTGTGAAGCATGCTTGCTGAAAAAGTTCCTCTTTATGAGAAAGGCAATATTAGTAAAGACTTCTTTGATAATCTCAAAGAACTTGAATATGCTCAGAGAAAATCTAAATAGTTTCAATGTTAAATTACGCAATTGGGGTTTTGGGGTTTTGGGGTTTTGGGGTTTTGGGG